AATACACTTGGTCTGCCCCATTGGGCATCTGATTTTCCTTGTTGGGAATGTGATGCTGAAAATTTCACTCCATGTACCTTTGGAAAAGGGTACAAGGAGATCTGTTTGGAAAAGCAGAGATTTGTCCTCGACACACATGAAGAGTGCTACTGCTGCTACTATGAAGGGCCAAGGATGAGAACAGCAAAAAAAACCTTGGGAAAGGTTGAGTGTTCATTATACCCAGCAGAAATGCAAAAACCGACTGACAAACCTCCGCCTATCTATGATCTGTGACCCTAGCAAGCCATGGTCAAAGCATCCTGTTGGAATGCAAGGGGGGGAGGCCAGACACCTGCTCCCAGCACCCATTCCTGTCCTCCAAACAGTTTTTGCAGACACCATGGAGGTGTGTGAAGTAGAAATGTTGAGGGCAGCCACCAGTTTGGAAAAGCTGGTTCAACTGTGGGATGACATAGGTGTTTGCCCCACCCCAGCTCAATATGAGAAGAGTTTGTCCTGTGGTGCTTTTCTCAAGAGCTACGCCTGGCTCAATGCATGGTCTTTGGAAAAGGACAGAAAGTCATTCCACATAGTGGCCAAGCACCATTCCTTTTTGCATTTGCTATGGAATTCAAATCATCTCAATCCAAAGCTCCATTGGTGTTTTCAAGGGGAAGACTTTGTAGGTCAAATCAGTAAGCTGACCCATTCAGTCTCAATGGGGGTGTCTTCCACAAGGTTGTCAAGCAAGGTGGTGGGCAAGTACAGAATACTAACCCACCTCTTCTTGACCAGATCCATGCAAGACATGGAGGAAGGCTACACAGATGAAGTTTGACTTTGGAAAAGGTTGAAGCCTTGGGAAGACACCTCTTGGGCCAGCTTGCTGAGTTGGAGCAGTTTTGGAAAAGACTGCAGCAGCTTTGGAAAAGGTTGCTCCAGTTTTTTTGTGCAGTCTGCAAGTTCAAAGAAACTTGCTGCATGTACTTTGGCGTTGTGGAAAACTGTCAGGTGTGTGGTGTGTTTTCACTGTTTTTTGAAATGTGTTTTCTTGAGTTTCTTTTTGTTTCTTTTTGATTTTCGTTTTCAATTTTGCTGACTCTTTTTCTATTTGATTTTTGCCTTTAAAGAATCAAATTGAGAGAATTGATTTGCCAATCCTTAAAATCAAATGTTTTGATTCTAATCAAAAAGCGATGCTCAGGGTCTGCAGCCGGCAGTGAACATGGTGGACCTCGGCACGAATTACCAAATGGTAGAACTCATCGAGAACAAGGAGCCGCGTACGGTTTGGAACGCTATGTGGAGGACGTGGTTCAGGACATTTGGGATTCCTGAATACATCGCCGTGGACGAGGGCACGGAGTTCAAGGGCGACTTCAGGAGACTGTGCTCAGAAGCGGGTGTTGCAGTTTTCACGACAGCAAGCAAATTTCCTTGGCAGCTTGGACGCGTGGAAAGGCATGGAGGCCTGTTCAAGACTATGCTTCAGCATGTGAGATCGTCAATGCCGCCTACGTCACAGGAGGAGTTGCAACAGATGGTGCAAGAGGTGGAAGCCGCCAAGAACCGCTTCAGCAACAGAAGCGGGTATAGTCCTACGCAAAGGTAGGTCAACGGCCCAGGGTGCCGTCGAGCTTGATGAGCGATGAAGCGATCGACCCGACACTCCAAAGCCAGGGCAATTCCGATGACTTTACACGTATGATGAACTTGAGGCAAGCGGCTCTGGAGGCATTCGTCAAGGCAAACTCACAACGAGCAGCACAGAAGGCGTTGAAGGCGCGAGGTCGGCCCACCAGAGATTGGATGCCCGGAGACCTAGTCTATGTGTATCGGGTCATGCGACAAAGGAGCAGAGTGGCTGGCGGAGGAGGCCGGCTGACTCGTAAAGCAATGTGGACGGGCCTGTGCTTTCAGTTGAGGGAAGCATCCTGTGGATCAACATGTTCGGAGAGCTGTGGCGAACCTCACAGGAACAGACGAGACTGGCCACCTACGAGGAGCGGTTAGGCGCGGAGGTGGTCGCAGAGTCATTTGAGGAGATGCAGGAGAGACTGAAGCGAGACCCTCATCGGCCGGGCTATCGCGATGTTACCGGAGAGGCGGTCGTGGATGAGGATGGAGAAGGAGAAGTGGAAGGCGGAGAACACGATCAAGTACCGGAGGAGGAAGCAGAGGACGATCCAGTCAGAGTTGAAGGATACCGTAGAGGTGCTCCAAGAGCCCGACGTGATGATGGTGCAGGAGATGGAGAACGAGCCGGAGTTCCTCAGGAGGAGATGGAGATTGAGCAGGCAGTCGAGGAGGTAGCGAAGAAAGACTATCGAGTTCTTTGCCGGAGCCCGAAGTAGAAGACAGTATGAGTCGACAACGAACAGAGCAGAGCGTGAATGCTGTCAGAGAGAACATGAATCTGGACGGTATGCCGATTCAGAACTTCGGACCGGTGAGGAGAGCAGTAGATCATCAGTGGAGGAGAAATGCGGACCAGCCCTATTTCAATGAGGTGTTCCTTGGCACGTTCCCGGAGGACGAGGAAGTGACACAGGAGCACACGGGCGAGGACTACTGGATCTTCGACCCGATCAAGGAGGTGATACAGCGGCACCACGTGAAGGAACGACAGGCCAGATTCAAGCCGACCGAGGTACGAACTTGTCCAATCCCGCTACGCGCGATCAGCAAAGAGCTGAGGAGCCACATGAAGTTCGCAGATGGTCAGGAGAGGCACGAGGAGGACCAGTGGAGTTGGCTTGGAGAACGTGCAGTAATGAGGAGCTGGTGGAAAGGCGTCACTGAGTTTGAGGTGGACATGGATCAGATAAAGAATGAGGTGATGCTTGCTGGGACTCGGAGACGCGGAGATGGAGAGATCTTCGAACACGAGATTCCCAAGGCGGAGAAACCTTTATGGGATGCCAGCGACAAGGAGGAGTGGTCCAAGGTGCTTCAGAGTGGGGCAGTTCGAGTGCTATGGGTGGAGGAGTCAAGGGCTGTGCGAGAAGAGCTAGCTCAGAAGGGCGATTTGAATCGCATCCTGCCCACAAGAATGGTACGCCGCTACAAGCCTTCGGAGGAGGTTGGAGTGGCGCCCAGTAGCAAGAGTCGTTGGTGCATCAGAGGAGACAAGGACCCAGACATCCTGGAACTGGAGCGGTTCAGTCCGACGGTGTCAACGTCAAGTCTGCAGATCGCAACGCAAGCCGCTATGAACCACGGGTTCCGAGGCAGAGTTGGTGACCTGAAAAGTGCGTTCACGCAGTCAATGCCGTTGATGAGAAAGAAGGGAAGAATCTTCTGCACGCAGTGTGGTGGTGGACATCATGAACTACAAGATGGGCAGTTGATTGAGGTGGTTCTTGGAGTTTACGGACTCCTTCACTGGCGTCGAACGCTGAAGAATTAAACAAAAAATTGGTTCGGGAACTCGGCTATAAGCCGGCGCGCATGGATCCATGCCTATTTTTGATGCATGGCAATGGCAAGGACGTGGACGCTCTCGAGGGCATGATCTTAGTAGAGGTCGACGACCTCTTAATGTTCGGTGGCAGTCGGCAGGATCAGAAAATGGCGCGGCTCCAGGAACGGTTCAAGTTCGGGAAACTGAAGGACATCAATGAGGAGGGAGTCGGATTCAATGGAAGGCGACTGAGCATGGTCAATGGGGTGCTCTACATCGACATGGAGAAGTTTGTGAAGGAGAGGCTCATGGAGGCTGAGATCACGAAGGAGCGCAAGAAGCAGACCGGCGAGAAGTTGAATAGTGAAGAGCTCGGGCAAACACGAGCAATTTGCGGTGCTTTGAACTGGGCAGGCAAAGAAGGACGACCAGATGCAGCAGCTGCAGCATCGCTATACGCATCCCGGTTGCGAGAGTTGACTGTTGCGGAGTTGCTCGAGATGAACAAGGTGGTGAAGAGCCTGAAGGAGCGTGCCGATCTGAAGATTCAGATCCAAAGGCTACCTAGGATGAAGTGGGGTGTGGTGACGGACGCAAGCTGGGCAAACACGACCGCGAACAAGTCGCAAGGAGGTCACATCATCATCACGTTCAACCAGGAGCTCATGGAGGGCAAGCAAGCAGCCACCAATGTGCTGCTGTGGAAAAGCGGCAAGCTTCCGAGAGTAGTGGGCTCAACGCTAGCAGCAGAGACTCAAGCACTTGCTAGAGGTGTTGGCGAGTTGATTTGGGCCAAGGTGGTCTACCAGGAGATTGTGGACGGTGGTTTCGACCTACGGAATTGGGAAGCTGCAGTGCGAAAGGATGGCTACATGGCCCTGGCCAAGGATGAGACCCAGAAGGAGCTGCAAGAGGCTCTGGCGGTGGTGGATGCTAAGGCATTGTTTGATGTGATGAGTCGAGACACGCACGGAGGCAGAGATCGTCGGAATGCAATCGACGTGCAGTTGCTGGGGGCACATTCGGTGGGTGGAAAGCAAGGACATGCTCGCGGATTGCCTCACCAAGAAGAACGGTGACATGGAGTCTCTCTTGGAGGTTCTGAGAGGAGGCAGATTTGGGATTCAAGCCGAATCCAGCGTTCTTGCCCGGAGGGCAAAAGAACGAATTCAGGGGCGAGAAAATTTTGGGCGTGTGAATCGCTGAGCAGGTTCACCGCCCCTGTCGCATCAGGGCTCAGACTCATGCGGAGCGGGAGCCCCGCGTAGTGGCCGAGAAAAGGGCACACCTGCCATTGGTTAGTCATATTTCTTGGGGTTGATTGTTTGGGGTTGGTTGCGTGTTCTGCTGTGTGTTTTTTGAAAGGCAGAGGGGGTTACAAGTCAGGAAGCTTTGAGTGCCACACAGGGCGGGAGGGCGCAGTACTGGTCTTGTCAGTCGGACAGCGATTTGTCTATTGGGCTCGATTCCACTTGTTTGCTTTGGCGCCTGTGCTTTTTGAAACATTGCGCTCTCATTTTGGCTCCATCCCGCTGCCCAGTTCGCAGCGTGAGGAAACGTGAGGTTGTCTGACCAGCTGAGCTCAGAACCTTCGGCCCCGGAAAGCGAGAATGAGGCCTATTCCATGGCCTTGGACGACATCCGGGTCTTTGAGGAGGCTGGCCACTCCAAAGCCGGAGCCTCAGAGCCGACGGGGCCCGGCCAGGCTTTCGGAGCGGCTCTCCGGGAATCCCCCGGTTTTGAGGTGTTAAGGGAATCCTGAAATTTCAATGCACCAGTTTTCAGACGTACCCTGCTCTTGCAGTCGAAGTTTTTCACCATGAAACTCGGCTTTGACGGAACACTTTAGGTTTAGTTTCTTTTCGCTCATGCAGCTGGGCAGGGTTGAGGGTTGTTGGGTTTCTTGATGTTGCGAGGTTACGTCTTGGGTGATTGCATTGGGTTGCGAAATGAAATCGGCTTGCACGAACACAGACTTCTTCACTGTGGCTCAGATGATGAACTCTTTCCGCAATCAAGCTCAACAGGTCCAAGCTGCGGCTTTGACGAAATACTTTCGGTCTTCTTTCACCTGATGCAGCCGGGCAGGGTTGAGGGTTGTGAGGTTTTTGCGGCTCTTAATCTTCTTGATGTTGCGCTTACGTCTTGGGCGATTGCATTGATTGTGAAGTAAAGTCGGCTTGCACGACCACGCACTTCTTCACTGTGGCTCAGATGATGAACTCTTTCCGCAATCAAGCTCAACAGGTCCAAGCTGCGGCTTTGACGAAACACTTTCGGTCTTCTTTCACCTGATGCAGCCGAGTATGGTTGTGTGGTTCTTGAGGTTCTCAAGTTTCTTGATGTTGTGCTTATGTCTTGGGTGATTGCATTGATCAAGAAGTGGAGTCGGCTTGCACGACCGCGGACTTGTCCGCTGTGGCTCAGATGAACTCTTTCCGCAATCAAGCTCAACAGGTCCAAGCTGCGGCTTTGACGAAACACTTTCGGTCTTCTTTCACCTGGTGCGGCCGGGCAGGGTTGTGAGGTTCTTGAGGTTCTCGAGTTTCTTAATGTTGTGCTTACACTCTCCGGTGAAAGTCGGTGTGTTTGCGTCCAACTTCGTGTGCCACGCAGGATACTGATTCAGGAAGTCGGTGCGGCTTGTGTCCTGGTGGGGGTTTGTACATATATATATATATATGGTTACCGTTGAACTCGAATTCCATGCGGCAAGATTTTGTGTGAGCACGTTCCCGTCACACGCAGTGGCACACTGCCTCTGGCGAAGAGACTGAGAGTGCCATGTCAACTAAACACATGGGAGTTGGGTTCTCCTTGTTCAACTTTGTGCCAGTAAGGATTTTCCCCCGCAGTCTCTGGACCTCGTTCGGGCCTCGTTTAGACCTCGTTAAGACCTCGTTTTGACCTCGTTAATTTTGCTGGTTTGTGTCACGTGAAACTGAAGAGAAAAGCAACCTGGTGTCTTCAGGGAGCGTGGCAGCTGTGAGAAGCACTTCCCGTGGAGTGCGTCCCGTGGATTTGTGTTTATGGGATCTGAAGCAACGCCCAAAACCGAAAACATGACATGCTGGAAATTATACTGTTGGAAATTATACTGCGCATGTCATCCCACCCGATACTTTTCCGAGCTGCGCATCCTAGTGCGCCCCATTGGGATTTACACATCGCACGTTCAAATTTGCGCTTTAAACCGGACATCTTGACATACTGCGTCACAGTGGGAGTTCCACATCGTACGTCCAATTTAGCGCTTTAAACCGGACATTTTGACATGCTGCGTCACAGTGGGATTTACACATCGTACGTCCAAACTAGCGCTTTAAACAGGACGTCTTGGCATACTGCGTCACAGTGGGATTTACACATCGCACGTGCAAATTAATGCTGAAAAACAGCAATCTTGACATATTGCGTCACAGAGGGATTTGGCAAGTTTTGCACTGACTTCTCCGACTTCGTGAATGCGCTTGCGTCTCATGCAGGTTTGCTTATGCAAGCTGTCGCGCACTGACTGGCGCCGCCCAGTGTATGTCTTGGGTGATTGCACTGATCAAGAAGTGGAGTCGGCTTGCACGACCACGGACTTGTCCGCTGTGGCTCAGATGAACTCTTTCCGCAATCAAGCTCAACAGGTCCAAGCTGCGGCTTTGACGAAACACTTTCGGTCTTCTTTCACCTGATGAAGCCAGGCAGGTTTGTGTGGTCGTTGAGGTTCTTGAGTTTCCTGATGTTGCGCGGTTACGTCTTGGGTGATTGCATTGATTGTGAAGGCAGTCGGCTAGCACGAGCACAGACTTCTTCACTGTGGCTCAGATGATGAACTCTTTCCGCAATCAAGCTCAACAGGTCCAAGCTGCGGCTTTGACGAAACACTTTCGGTCTTCACCTGATGAAGCCGGGCAGGTTTGTGTGGTCGTTGAGGTTCTTGAGTTTCTTGATGTTGCGCGGTTACGTTTTGGGTGATTGCATTGATTGTGAAGGCAGTCGGCTAGCACAACCACGGACTTGTTCAGTTTGGCTCAGATGATGAACTCTTTCCGCAATCAAGCTCAACAGGTCCAAGCTGCGGCTTTGACGAAACACTTTCGGTCTTCTTTCACCTGATGAAGCCGGGCAGGTTTGTGTGGTCGTTGAGGTTCTTGAGTTTCTTGATGTTGCGCGGTTACGTCTTGGGTGATTGCATTGATTGTGAAGGCAGTCGGCTAGCACAACCACGGACTTGTTCAGTTTGGCTCAGATGATGAACTCTTTCCGCAATCAAGCTCAACAGGTCCAAGCTGCGGCCTTGACGAAACACTTTCGGTCTTCTTTCACCTGACGCAGCCGGGCAGGGTTGAGGGTTGAGAGGTTTTTGCGGTTCTTAATCTTCTTGATGTTGCGTTTTGTCTTGGGCAATTGCATTGATTGTGAAGTCAAGTCGTCTTGCATGACCACGGACTTCTTCATTGTGGCTTAGATGATGAAGAACTCTTTCCGCAATCAAGCTCAACAGGTCCAAGCTGCGGCTTTGACGAAACACTTTCGGTCTTCTTTCACCTGATGCAGCCGGGCAGGGTTGAGGGTTGTGAGGTTTTTGCGGCTCTTAATTTTGTTGATGTTGCGCTTACGTCTTGGGCGATTGCATTGATTGTGAAGTGAAGTAGGCTTGCACGACCACGCACTTTTTCACTGTGGCTCAGATGATGAACTCTTTCCGCAATCAAGCTCAACAGGTCCAAGCTGCGGCTTTGACGAAACACTTTCGGTCTTCTTTCACCTGATGCAGCCGGGCAGGGTTGAGGGTTGTCAGGTTTCTGCGGTGCTTAATTTTGTTGATGTTGCGCTTACGTTTTGGGCGATTGCATTGATTGTGAAGTGAAGTTGTCTTGCATGACCACGGACTTCTTCACTGTGGCTTAGATGATGAACTCTTTCCGCAATCAAGCTCAACAGGTCCAAGCTGTGGCGTTGACGAAACACTTTCGGTCTTCTTTCACCTGATGCAGCCGGGCAGGTTTGTGTGGTTCTTGCGGTTCTTGACATTATTATGTTGGCTTGCACGACCACGCACTTCTTCACTGTGGCTTAGGATGAACTCTTTCCGCAATCAAGCTCAACAGGTCCAAGCTGCGGCTTTGACGAAACACTTTCGGTCTTCTTTCACCTGATGCAGCCGGGCAGGTTTGTGTGGTTCTTGAGGTTCTCGAGTTTCTTGATGTTGTGCTTATGTCTTGGGTGATTGCTTTGATCAAGAATTGGAGTCGGCTTGCACGACCACGGACTTGTCCACTGTGGCTCAGATGATGAGCTCTTTCCGCAATCAAGCTCAACAGGTCCAAGCTGCGGCTTTGACGAAACACTTTCGGTCTTCTTTCACCTGATGCAGCCGGGCAGGTTTGTGTGGTTTTTGAGGTTCTCGAGTTTCTTGATGTTGTGATTATGTCTTGGGTGATTGCATTGATCGTGAAGTGGAGTCGGCTTGCACAACCACGGAGTTGTTCACTGTGGCTCAGATGATGAACTCTTTCCGCAATCAAGCTCAACAGGTCCAAGCTGCGGCTTTGACGAAACACTTTCGGTCTTCTTTCACCGGATGCAGCCGGGCAGGGTTGTGTGGTTGTGGACGTTAGTGAGTTTCTGGATGCTGCGCGTACGTCTTGGCGGTTGCATTGATTGTGAAGGCAGGCGGCTTGCGCAACCACAGACTTGTTCATTGTGGCTTAGATGATGAACTCTTTCCGCAATGAAGCTCAACAGGTCCAAGCTGCGGCTTTGACGAAACACTTTTGGTCTTCTTTCACCTGATGGAGCTTGGCGTGTTGTGAGGTTCTTGCGGTTCTTGACATTCTTGATGTTGCGCTTGCGTCTTGACAGTTGCAGTGCTTGTGAAGGCAGTCGGCTTGCACAACCACGGAGTTGTTGATTGTGGCTCAGATGATGAACTCTTTCCGCAATCAAGCTCAACAGGTCCAAGCTGCGGCTTTGACGAAACACTTTCGGTCTTCTTTCACCTGATGCAGCCGGGTAGGGTTGTGTGGTTGTGGACGTTAGTGAGTTTCTGGATGCTGCGCGTACGTCTTGGCGGTTGCATTGATTGTGAAGGCAGGCGGCTTGCACAACAAAAGACTTGTTCATTGTGGCTTAGATGATGAACTCTTTCCGCAATCAAGCTCAACAGGTCCAAGCTGCGGCTTTGACGAAACACCTTCGGTCTTCTTTCACCTGATGGAGCTTGGCGTGTTGTGAGGTTCTTGCGGTTCTTGACATGCTTGATGTTGCGCTTGCGTCTTGATGGTTGCATTGATTGTGAAGGCAGGCGGCTTGCACAACCACAGACATGTTCATTGTGGCTTAGATGATGAACTCTTTCCGCAATCAAGCTCAACAGGTCCAAGCTGCGGCTTTGACGAAGCACTTTCGGTCTTCTTTCACCTGATGCAGCCGGGTAGGGTTGTGTGGTTGTGGACGTTAGTGAGTTCCTGGATGCTGCGCGTACGTCTTGGCGGTTGCATTGATTGTGAAGGCAGGCGGCTTGCACAACCACAGACTTGTTCATTGTGGCATAGATGATGAACTCTTTCCGCAATCAAGCTCAACAGGTCCAAGCTGCGGCTTTGACGAAACACTTTCGGTCTTCTTTCACCTGATGGAGCTTGGCGTGTTGTGAGATTCTTGCGGTTCTTGACATTCTTAATGTTACGCTTGCGTCTTGACGGTTGCAGTGCTTGTGAAGGCAGTCGGCTTGCACAACCACGGAGTTGTTCACTGTGCCTCAGATTATGAACTCTTTCCGCAATCAAGCTCAACAGGTCCAAGCTGCGGCTTTGACGAAACACTTTCGGTCTTCTTTCACCTGATGCAGCCGGGTAGGGTTGTGTGGTTGTGGACATTAGTGAGTTCCTGGATGCTGCGCGTACGTCTTGGCGGTTGCATTGATTGTGAAGGCAGGCGGCTTGCACAACCACAGACCTGTTCATTGTGGCTTAGATGATGAACTCTTTCCGCAATCAAGCTCAACAGGTCCAAGCTGCGGCTTTGACGAAACACTTTCGGTCTTCTTTCACCTGATGCAGCCGGGTAGGGTTGTGTGGTTGTGGACGTTAGTGAGTTCCTGGATGCTGCGCGTACGTCTTGGCGGTTGCATTGATTGTGAAGGCAGGCGGCTTGCACAACCACAGACTTGTTCATTGTGGCTTAGATGATGCACTCTTTCCGCAATCAAGCTCAACAGGTCCAAGCTGCGGCTTTGACGAAACACTTTCGGTCTTCTTTCTCCTGATGGAGCTTGGCGTGTTGTAAGATTCTTGCGGTTCTTGACATTCTTAGTGTTACGCTTGCGTCTTGACGGTTGCAGTGCTTGTGAAGGCAGTCGGCTTGCACAACCACGGAGTTGCCTCAGATGATGAACTCTTTCCGCAATCAAGCTCAACAGGTCCAAGCTGCGGCTTTGACGAAACACTTTCGGTCTTCTTTCACCTGATGCAGCCGGGTAGGGTTGTGTGGTTGTGGACGTTAGTGGTACGTCTTGGCGGTTGCATTGATTGTGAAGGCAGGCGGCTTGCACAACCACAGACCTGTTCATTGTGGCTTAGATGATGAACTCTTTCCGCAATCAAGCTCAACAGGTCCAAGCTGCGGCTTTGACGAAACACTTTCGGTCTTCTTTCACTCCCTCTTTCACCTTGTGCACGGGACCTGATGCAGGGGTAGGGTTGTGTGGTTGTGGACATTAGTGAGTTCCTGGATGCTGCGCGTACGTCTTGGCGGTTGCATTGATTGTGAAGGCAGGCGGCTTGCACAACCACAGACATGTTCATTGTGGCTTAGATGATGAACTCTTTCCGCAATCAAGCTCAACAGGTCCAAGCTGCGGCTTTGACGAAACACTTTCGGTCTTCTTTCACCTGATGCAGCCGGGTAGGGTTGTGTGGTTGTGGACGTTAGTGAGTTTCTGGATGCTGCGCGTACGTCTTGGCGGTTGCATTGATTGTGAAGGCAGGCGGCTTGCACAACCACAGACATGTTCATTGTGGCTTAGATGATGAACTCTTTCCGCAATCAAGCTCAACAGGTCCAAGCTGCGGCTTTGACGAAACACTTTCGGTCTTCTTTCACCTGATGCAGCCGGGTAGGGTTGTGTGGTTGTGGACGTTAGTGGTACGTCTTGGCGGTTGCATTGATTGTGAAGGCAGGCGGCTTGCACAACCACAGACATGTTCATTGTGGCTTAGATGATGAACTCTTTCCGCAATCAAGCTCAACAGGTCCAAGCTGCGCTTTGACGAAACACTTTCGGTCTTCTTTCACCTGATGCAGCCGGGTAGGGTTGTGTGGTTGTGGACGTTAGTGGTACGTCTTGGCGGTTGCATTGATTGTGAAGGCAGGCGGCTTGCACAACCACAGACCTGTTCATTGTGGCTTAGATGATGAACTCTTTCCGCAATCAAGCTCAACAGGTCCAAGCTGCGGCTTTGACGAAACACTTTCGGTCTTCTTTCACCTGATGGAGCTTGGCGTGTTGTGAGGTTCTTGCGGTTCTTGGGTTTCTTGACGGTCCGCATTAGTTTCTTTGGCAATTGCTTTGATTGTGGCGTTGTGTTGGCTTGCCCGACCAGCTCGTGACCGTTTTTCTTCTACACACAGGCTTTAAATCCATCTTGCAACATTGATTTGTCACACATACATGCCCAAATGTGGAAGGTTTGAGCAAGCCATTGCGGCGCGCGAGTCTGTCTTTTGGCTCTGCATCTGAGGAGCACATTGGCCAGCTGGCGACCTATGGGTTCGTGAACTTTTCGGGGATGTGCACGCTTCTGGCAGGTCAGGGTGGTGTGTGTTGCTTGCATGAACCCCGGAGGTCTGTTGAACCCCTTTGCCAGCCCTCGTGTTTTTGGTGTATTTGCCATTGTAGGCCCAAGAGAAGTAGCCAAATGTGCTCGGGAACAGGTCCAACGTCACGCCTGAAGTGTTGGCAATGTGGCCCCCCTGATGCCTCGAAACCTGATGGGGCAAAGGCCTAAGGCAACTGACCGTGCGCCGTGCGCTTCGGAGGGCTCACCGACGCGACACCACCACCACCAGAGGGGTGATGCGTGGCTGGTTTCTTCGATCGCGACGCATCCCGCCCAACCACGGCAGGCGTTGCGAAGAGATTGAAGCCAGGGGTGGATTGGCAGGAGGCAGGAGGCGCCGCTCCGTGAAGAAATATATCTGTTCGTGCCTTTTCGTAGGAGTTCAAAGGGGAAACCAGGAGGAAGCCACGCTTTCTCTGGTCTCCAGTCAGGTTTTGGACGCGCAGATGCCAGTGTCTTTCTTGGACAAACATGCTTAAATAGTAAAATACACATTTTCGCATCGGCACGGCGGATTCCCCAATTTTTGCAAGGGAACCAACTACAGGGCATGAAACCACGAAACCTTGGCGACTTGTGACGAAGAGCTGTACACTCACTCCCTGAGTTCCTTGACTTTATCGTTTTTGGAAAGACCCGTTTTTGTTTTTTTGTGGTAAACACACAGTTCAGGGTTTCTCTGGCCAATCCAGTCAAGTGAGTGCAGGTATCCCGGGCACATACGTATTTCGTTGCCAGTGGAACCCGGAGGCCCTTGCCGGCTGCCGCTTCCTGGACCTCGGATCGGAAACCCAGAAGGCCCAGAAGTCACAAACTCCAAACCAAACAGGTGGAACCCCAATTCGTCTTCCGAAGAGATGTTGCTTTCTTCGGCCCCTGGTTTCCTGGCCGGATTTAGGTTCCTATAGGTTCTTTGCGGCTTTCTTCTAGGTTGCCTGTAGTTTTCCTCGGGTTTCTTCCAGGTCGCGTTGCTGGATCAAGCACGAAGAACACCCAGCAGCCTTCAGGGCAAGAGAGAGAGAGAGAAAGAGAGAGCAAAACAGGGCCATGCATTGAACCGGGACTTTGCGGGAAGATTTTGTGATTGGCGCCCGTTTTGTGATTGGCGCCCCCTTCAGCTCCCTCAAAGGGCGATAGTTTGCCATTTTGCCCCTTTGCTCCTACTGGAGAGGACCCTGATATTTGGGCATGTCAAAGGCCCCTGTAAAAAGAAGTTGCACCCTGAGCCTTGTGGGTATGCGCAATACCGACTACTTTAAACTTGGTTGTTCTCCTTTCTCCGACCCTCCCACCCACAGCCTCAGCGTGCGGCGTCTCAGCTCCAGGAAAAAAGCCAGCAGTGCTGAGATAGGCTCGCAGGCAACGGAACTCAGCTGTAAGTTGTTGCTCCCTCTCACAAAAGGGCCAACCACTTCTGATTCATGCCCCTTTCGGCACGCTCCCTCCCTGGGTCGCTTCCTTGCTTCGCTCAAAGCGCCGATGATTGCTCGAGGCTGCGGGGACGCCCGCGCGGTGGTGGCTGCGGCAGTGCTGGCCCGAGGCCGAGAACAATGGGAGATATCGGGGGCTTGGGCCATTTGAGTTTGAGGGCGGATGCAGATAGAACCCAGAAAGAAACATCATGTTTAGAGGAGTCTCCTTGTCGCCCTCCCCTCTCCTCAATTTGAGCATCACCTTTTGGGTCAGTTTCATGCGAACTTCCTTATATGTCCAAGAGGGTTCTCTATATTTCCCCTTCAAGCATCACTTGCCAAAAGCGAGATTCGCTTGAAGTTGACAACCAAAAGGCGACGTTGATAAACGACCAGGAGGCAAAGGAGACTTGGGCTGCTGAAAGCGTAGCCCTGTGGATGGCCATCTCCGTTTGGGAATTGTCCCACTAGAACCTGACTAAGTGACTACCTGGGAGCTTCACGGACAGGTGGCTTTTCCAGCAAAAATCAACACAAGGATCATATGGCTATGAAGTTCAATGGTAACCCCCTGAAAAGTGGTTGGTGGACAACAATCCCCACCTAAATGATGTCCATTAAAGGGTTCCTAAGTAAAACTCCCCCTCTGTCACTGACGCCTGGTTTCGAGGTCCGGGGCTTGGAGGCTGTGGGAGTAGAGCTGTCCACGTCCGGCAGCCCAGATTGCAGCGATGGCTGGAACGGGAGGGGGGGGGGGGAAGGGAATGCAAAAAAGGACACCTCACTCCCTGAGTTGGACAGCCTGGATCCACCAAGCAACGTGGCAAGTGATTGAGTTGATCTGGTTGCTGTGGTCGCGCCTTATGCCGGCCAGAGCAATCCGATGCGCGCACACACAAGAGCTGCCTGATGTTATACTTCTTGGGAAGAACGGTTTGGTGGCAAACAAAAAGATTGAACATGTTGGCCAATCCACACAGGAAGTGAGACCCGGCGAACCGTGCATGTTCCCGTTGATGGAATGCATGGAGCCCGTGTTTTTCCCGAAAGGTGGGGGAGTGCGTGCGCCAGCAAACGGCAGGGGCAATGACACATTCCTCTCATGAATTTGGGGTTCCCGATTTTAGTTTCTGAAGCGCCCCTGACTTCCCTCCGATGGTTTTCGTGTGACTTTGCCGAGAGCCTCACGTCGCCTGCAAGGTCTCGCCACGAGCTAGCAGTGCGTAACAGGCGGGCGAGAGCGAGAGAAAGGGGGAGAGAGACGGGGAGAGAGACGCAGAGCGAGCAAGAGAGAGAGAAAGAGAGAGAGAAACAGAATTCCAAGAAAGAGGAAAGAACGAGAAGAGACAAAATCTACCAAAAGGAAAGAAAAGAACCAGGAAAAAGAACAGAAAGTATCGAAAGACACACAACACACAGAAACTCCTCCGCCCAAAAACATGTGAGAAAAGAAAAGAAATACTCATGTAAGGAAATAAATACAGAACGTGATGAATAACAAAATAAATAGCGGATAAGCAAATAAAGAAACAAGCAATAAAGTAGAAATACGCACAGAAAGGAAGGAACGGAAGGAAAGGAGGGAAGGAAGGGAAGGAAGGGAAGGAAGGGAAGGAAGGGAAGGAAGCGAAGGAAGGAAAGGAAGGAAAGGAAGGAAAGGAAGGAAAGGAAGGAAAGGCAGGAAAGGAAGGAAAGGAAGGAAGGAAAGGAAGACAACATAAAGCACACATTGGAAAGAAGCATAACAATAAGCAATGACAAGAAAGAAGGAAAGACATACAATACACAAAGAAACAAAGAAATGAGACAAATAATGAACGGACAGAAATACGTGGAATAAAAAACGATAAGAAGGAGACACAAATAAAGCAACAACAAAGACAAGCAATAAGGAAACGAAGGAAGACAATAAAGAAAGGAAGAAACACACAGCGACCACCTGGGCTGATTGGATACATCAGTTGATTTGCTAGTGAATTCCAGGTTGAAAAAAGAGCGGGGAATGAGAGTGCCAGCTTTGTTCTGAGCCCTCACAGGTCACAGGACCATTGATGTCCTTGATTGGGATCTCTCAGCGGACACAGGGCGTTGTCCAAAATAGAGGACCGTTGCATCTTGCAGCTCGAAAGCGGCCCCCATAATCCCCAAAACCGTGTTGGCAACCAAAGTCCTTGATGTACCAACCGGGGCTTGTTGAGCTGCCATTTTGATCATGGGGCAACACTGGTTTGCAAACTCTGCAGGTGGTTTGAACTGCGTAAGCAACGGGTTGGCCCGAAAAAGTCGGCGCGAACACACCCGTAGGAGCACGCTTGCATGAGCAAACTCGCACGAGAAAGCTCGCACGTGCACATTTGCAAGAGAAAACTTGCGCACGAAAACTTGCATGAGAGATTAAACATATTCGTTTAAGACGGCACGGTGGGACCGAACCCACCCCGCGAAAATGCCACCCTTTGCGGGGATCGGCATGTTCGACTCGCAAAAGCTGAGGACTTGTGAGACATTTTGCGGTTCGCGCGTGGCTCTCTGCGGGGATTGGCGAGGTCAATGTGGGACTTTTGTGACTTTTTGGTCTGCGTGCGTCACCCTCAGCGGCGTGGTTGATGTGCAAAATTCTGTGGAGTGTCGTTGAGAGCGACCCTTTGCATTGAGAACGACGTGTGAGAAAATCCTTGCGCACTTGCAGAGTTATAGTTGCGCAGAGAGACGTGCGCCAAGAGCTTGCCCAGATGCCTTGCATTGACAACTCGCGCAGACAAACTGCATCGCGAAATTTCATAGCGAACTTGCACAGAGCGCTTGGAGACATTGAGCTGAGAGCTTTCGCACAGAGACTTGCGCAAGCAGCTTGTGCAAAGAGGCTTGCGCCAAGGACTTGCGTAGACAAGCTTGCTCGCAAGCATATGTGCCTAGAACTTGTGCAGGAAACTTGGGCATAAACTTGCGCAGAGAAGCTTGCGTGAAGATCTTGCACAGATGAGTTTGCAGTGTGAACTTGCGCAGAGACCACCAGCGCAGCGAACATGCTTCGCTCATGTTCTTCTGCTTGCGGGCCCACCGTTTTTTAGTTTTGTGTCGCTTTCGCTCCCACTTGTTTTCTCTTTGCTGGAGTGATCTTGACAGGATTGTCTGGCTTTTTAGCAAATTTCTGAAAGACTCCGACCACCGGTTTTGAGTGGCACCAGCGTGAGACACAGCCATGCAATTTGCCCAGAAAGCACGCGCGCAAGTGGGACAAATTCATCTAGCCCTTGAAGGATTTTTGAACGGGAGGTTTTCTTCAGCAGATTTAGTAATGACTGATCAGTGGTGCTTTTTCACTCATCATACATTTGGATTTTTGCCAAAACTACGGACCCGGCGGTTGGTGTCGTAGTCGTGTCCTTGCGAAACCATCTCCAAAAGCGGGCTTTTGGCACGCCATTCCAACAGCAAACCCTGGCCGAACGGACGCGATTTTTTTCAGGAGCCGTCTCCCACGGGACCTGCAAGAGAAGGTCCGCCTGGAGCAGATGGACATCCTACAGGCACGTCTGCCCCCGGGATAATGAAAGGACAGGAAGCCTCACTTAGTCGTAGTCCACCTGTTTTGCTGAGGATTTTAGTCTTGCTTGTTTGGTCGGCAGTGGTTTAGGAGTTGACAGTTGCTTCTTGGCCTGGGGAGGTTCACGCTTCTGGCAATATGGATGTATCGTTTCCGGCTCTGAACTAGCGGCCTGCGTGATTTGAGAAGGCGCAAACCACACGCGAAGCCAGATGGCCATGCTGTGTGGCTTCCCAATGTGTCGCCTAGGGATGACAAAAACGTTGCGCCCTTCGCTGACTGTACCGTGGAAAATGCACGTAAGTTCTGCAATTCTGAGCGGTCGCCCAGACGGGAGATGACGGGAGTGGAGGCGTATGCGGCGTGTATGATGCATTTGCATGCGAGACCAACAGAGGTGTGTGGCACGAAGTGTGCCGCTGCCAGTTGAATGTGTGACTTGTGCGTGAAGAGGTTCTCAAGGCATTCGATGTCGCGATGCGATTTTGAAGACCATGTTGGCCCAAGGATGACACAAACGTTGCGCCCTTACTTACATCCCATGGGGAATGCAACTGAGTTCTGCAATGCTGAGTGGGCAATAAGACAGCAGGTCAGTTTTCATGAGCGCGGTGGAGCACGCTGGCAGTTTGTGCAGGGATGAACAGTCGTGAAGTAATGGTATTGGGCAGGCATGGTAATGGCTGCGCCTGCACATTTTGGTCATTTTGCAGGTGGAGACGGATACGCTTGCTGTTGGAGTCATGGCATCCCCAGACACACTCCGAATCTAGTGGGACTGCTGAGAGACACGTTGATTCATGGAGAGCGTGGGGCGGGGGGGCCAAGGGGGATTGCTGGCGCAAGGATGACAAGAAACGCTGCGCCCGCTGACGCCTTTTGGCTGTGCGGAAAGAGCGTGTACTGCAAACTGCAATTGCAGTCCTGAGTAGGCGCACAGGTCGAGAAAGTCTCGCTTAGTCATAGTTCAGTTTTTTTCCACAGGTTTTAGTGTTGCTTTTTTGGTCTCTGTTTTGGTCGGCAGTGGATTAGGAGTTGGTAGTTGCTTCTTGGCCGGTGGGGAGGTTCACGCTTTTGGCAATGTGGATCTATCGTTTGCGGCTCTGAACTAGCGCCCTGCGTGATTTGAGAAGGCGCAAACCACACGCGAAGCCAGATGGCCTTGCGTGCTGTGTGGCTTCCCAATGTGTCGCCTAGGGATGACAAAAACGTTGCGCCCTTCGCTGACTGTACCGTGGGGAATGCACGTAAGTTCTGCAATTCTGAGCGGGCGTCCAGACGGGAGTGGAGGCGTATGCGGCGTGTATGATGCATTTGCATGCGACACCAACAGAGGTGTCCGGCACGAAGTGTGCCGCTGCCAGTTGAATGTGTAGCTTGTGCGTGAAGAGGTTCTCAAGGCATGCGATGTCGGGCTTGAAGACGATGTAGGCCCTAGGATGACACAAACGTTGCGCCCTTGCTTACATCCCATGGGGAATGCAACTGAGTTCTGCAATGCTGAGTGGGCACGAAGGCGGCAAGTCAGTTTTCATGAGCGTCGGTGGAGCACGCTGGCTATTTGTGCGCGGATGGAGAGTCGTGAAGTAGCGATATTGGGCAGGCATGATCAGCTTGGGTACTGGCTGCGCATGCCCTTTTTTGTGATTTTGCAGGTAGAGATGGATACGCTTGCTGTTGGAGTCACGCCTTTGACGGAGACACGTCCTCAGGTTGAGGTTGCAGTAGCTCTTTGTGCGAATCTAGTGTGACTGCTGCAAAATGCGTTGATTCATGGAGGGCGCGGGGGAGGGGGGGGGCAAGGGGGGATTGCTGGCGCAAGGATGACAAGAATCGCTGCGCCCGCTGACGCCTTTTGGCCGTGCGGAAAGAGCGTATACTGCAAACTGCAATTGCAGTCCTGAGTAGGCGCACAGGTCGAGGAAGTCTCCCTGAGTCATGTGGCACGAAGAGTGCCACTGCCAGTTGAATGTGTGACTTGTGCGTGAAGAGGTTCTCAAGGCATTCGATGTCGCGATGCGATTTTGAAGACCATGTTGGCCCAAGGATGACACAAACGTTGCGCCCTTGCTTACATCCCATGGGGAATGCAACTGAGTTCTGCAATGCTGAGTCGGCACTAAGACAGCAGGTCAGTTTTCATGAGCGCGGTGGAGCACGCTGGCTGTTTGCGCGGGGATGAACAGTCGTGAAGTAATGGTATTGGGCAGGCACGATCAGCTTAGGTAATGGCTGCGCATGCACATTTTGGTCATTTTGCAGGTGGAGACGGATACGCTTGCTGTTGGAGTCATGGCATCCCCAGACACACTCCGAATCTAGTGGGACTGCTGAGAGACACGTTGATTCATGGAGAGCGTGGGGCGGGGGGGCCAAGGGGGATTGCTGGCGCAAGGATGACAATAAACGCTGCGCCCGCTGACGCCTTTTGGCCGTGCGGAAGGAGCGTGTACTGCAAACTGCAATTGCAGTCCTGAGTAGGCGCACAGGTCGAGAAAGTCTCGCTTAGTCACAGTTCAGTTTTTTTCTACAGGTTTTAGTGTTGCTTTTTTGGTCTCTGTTTTGGTCGGCAGTGGATTAGGAGTTGGTAGTTGCTTCTTGGCCGGTGGGGAGGTTCACGCTTTTGGCAATGTGGATCTATCGTTTGCGGCTCTGAACTAGCGCCCTGCGTGATTTGAGAAGGCGCAAACCACACGCGAAGCCAGATGGCCTTGCGTGCTGTGTGGCTTCCCAATGTGTCGCCTAGGGATGACAAAAACGTTGCGCCCTTCGCTGACTGTACCGTGGGGAATGCACGTAAGTTCTGCAATTCTGAGCGGGCGTCCAGACGGGAGTGGAGGCGTATGCGGCGTGTATGATGCATTTGCATGCGACACCAACAGAGGTGTCCGGCACGAAGTGTGCCGCTGCCAGTTGAATGTGTAGCTTGTGCGTGAAGAGGTTCTCAAGGCATGCGATGTCGGGCTTGAAGACGATGTAGGCCCTAGGATGACACAAACGTTGCGCCCTTGCTTACATCCCATGGGGAATGCAACTGAGTTCTGCAATGCTGAGTGGGCACGAAGGCGGCAAGTCAGTTTTCATGAGCGTCGGTGGAGCACGCTGGCTATTTGTGCGCGGATGGAGAGTCGTGAAGTAGCGATATTGGGCAGGCATGATCAGCTTGGGTACTGGCTGCGCATGCCCTTTTTTGTGATTTTGCAGGTAGAGATGGATACGCTTGCTGTTGGAGTCACGCCTTTGACGGAGACACGTCCTCAGGTTGAGGTTGCAGTAGCTCTTTGTGCGAATCTAGTGTGACTGCTGCAAAATGCGTTGATTCATGGAGGGCGCGGGGGGGAGGGGGGGGGCAAGGGGGGATTGCTGGCGCAAGGATGACAAGAATCGCTGCGCCCGCTGACGCCTTTTGGCCGTGCGGAAAGAGCCCGTATACTGCAAACTGCAATTGCAGTCCTGAGTAGGCGCACAGGTCGAGGAAGTCTCCCTGAGTCATGTGGCACGAAGAGTGCCACTGCCAGTTGAATGTGTGACTTGTGCGTGAAGAGGTTCTCAAGGCATTCGATGTCGCGATGCGATTTTGAAGACCATGTTGGCCCAAGGATGACACAAACGTTGCGCCCTTGCTTACATCCCATGGGGAATGCAACTGAGTTCTGCAATGCTGAGTCGGCACTAAGACAGCAGGTCAGTTTTCATGAGCGCGGTGGAGCACGCTGGCTGTTTGCGCGGGGATGAACAGTCGTGAAGTAATGGTATTGGGCAGGCACGATCAGCTTAGGTAATGGCTGCGCATGCACATTTTGGTCATTTTGCAGGTGGAGACGGATACGCTTGCTGTTGGAGTCATGGCATCCCCAGACACACTCCGAATCTAGTGGGACTGCTGAGAGACACGTTGATTCATGGAGAGCGTGGGGCGGGGGGGCCAAGGGGGATTGCTGGCGCAAGGATGACAATAAACGCTGCGCCCGCTGACGCCTTTTGGCCGTGCGGAAGGAGCGTGTACTGCAAACTGCAATTGCAGTCCTGAGTAGGCGCACAGGTCGAGAAAGTCTCGCTTAGTCACAGTTCAGTTTTTTTCTACAGGTTTTAGTGTTGCTTTTTTGGTCTCTGTTTTGGTCGGCAGTGGATTAGGAGTTGGTAGTTGCTTCTTGGCCGGTGGGGAGGTTCACGCTTTTGGCAATGTGGATCTATCGTTTGCGGCTCTGAACTAGCGCCCTGCGTGATTTGAGAAGGCGCAAACCACACGCGAAGCCAGATGGCCTTGCGTGCTGTGTGGCTTCCCAATGTGTCGCCTAGGGATGACAAAAACGTTGCGCCCTTCGCTGACTGTATCGTGGGGAATGCACGTAAGTTCTGCAATTCTGAGTGGGCGTCCAGACGGGAGTGGAGTCTGTGCGGCGTTTATGATGCGCTTGCATGCGAGACCAACAGAGGTGTGCGGCACGAAGTGTGCCGCTGCCAGTTGAATGTGTAGCTTGTGCATGAAGCGGTTCTCCAGGCATGCGATGTCGGGCTTGGAGACGATGTAGGCCCTAGGATGACACAAACGTTGCGCCCTTGCTTACAGCCCATGGGGAATGCAACTGAGTTCTGCAATGCTGAGTGAGAACGAAGGCGGCAAGTCAGTTTTCATGAGCGTCGGTGGAGCACGCTGGCTATTTGTGCGCGGATGGAGAGTCGTGAAGTAGCGATATTGGGCAGGCATGATCAGCTTGGGTACTGGCTGCGCATGCCCTTTTTTGTGATTTTGCAGGTAGAGATGGATACGCTTGCTGTTGGAGTCACGCCTTTGACGGAGACACGTCCTCAGGTTGAGGTTGCAGTAGCTCTTTGTGCGAATCTAGTGTGACTGCTGCAAAATGCGTTGATTCATGGAGGGCGCGGGGAGGGGGGGGGCAAGGGGGGATTGCTGGCGCAAGGATGACAAGAATCGCTGCGCCCGCTGACGCCTTTTGGCCGTGCGGAAAGAGCGTATACTGC